AAGTCTGAGCTCTGGCTGAGGCACTTAGCCTAAAGGACATTAGGCTAAGGCACTAAAGGACATTCACAGAGTGGTCCCAAAGCCATTCTTTGTTATCTTGGCTGTGTTAAAGGTTGTTTGTCTGTTAGAAGCTAGATCTTCACCACAATCTGATGTCCAGAGTGCTCTGGAGCAGGGTATCATTAAGGATATCTCTGTACATGGCGACATTCATCTTTCCCTTGACCCTTACTGGTCTCCCAGTTCTATTTTACAAGGACTAGAAATACTTGTGTGTATTTCCATTTTGGTTTTTGGGACGGTCATTTACTAATTTTGTGTGTAGAATTTTGAGGTGAAAAATTAATTTAATCCATTTTTGAATAAGCATGACATGTAACATGACAAAATGTGGAACAAGTGAAGCTCTATGAGCACGAACTCTGGATGTGCTATAATCCACATAAATGACCAAAGATTTTCAAGCAAAACATTGCATTGGAACAAGATGATCTATTGGATTCACCTATAGGGCCAGTCTGTTGCAGGGCTAACAGAGGCAGACAACCATTCACACCTATGGGCAATTTAGAGTTCCCAATTCACCTAACCCCACTAACTGCATGCCTTTGGACTGAACCTTCTGACAAAATTTTAAAAACAAATTAAATGTTAACTTGCATATAGGAGTGTGAATTTGCATCATGTTTGCTACATCAGGCAATTTATTCCTTAAAGACGTAGAATGCAGTTTATTTTGTTTTGGGTGGGGGTGAGACTCTTACACTGTGGAAGTCACAAAAGCTCAGGTATCAAATACACTTGGTTTTAAAGAGTCATGGAGACCTTGCCAGGATTGGGTTGAACCCCCTTTATGTCTTTTTAATTGACTTAATTCTTCATGGTACAGATCAAACAAACATTGAATCTATGCCATGGAAACATTCCTCAGACATTTTGGTCCATATTGACCCAAACTGATAGCATCCTGCAGTTGCTGCGGTTTTGTCAGATACATATCCATGTCCTGAATCTGTCGCTCCATTGCATCCAAAGGTGCACTATTAAATTGAGATCTGGTGATTGTGGAGACCACCTAACACAATGAACTCATTGTCACGTTCAAGAAACCAGTTTGAGATAATCTGTGCTTTATAACATGGTGTATTATTACACTGGAAGTGGTCATCAAAAGATGGATAAACTGTGGCCACAAAGGGAACAATGCAGCAACAATGCTTAGTAGGTTGTGCCCCAACCTACAAAAGACAAAAAAACGTTAAGACACTAACAATTTAGTTGAAACATCTTCTATCATGAAACTATTAACCACGGGTTCCTTATTTCCTCTAATAAATGTAAGCTTTAAACCCTTTAAATCAGAACATATACAGCCCATGAATGTGTGAAATATCTTGCTCTGTTCTAGCATTAACCTGACATCTCTAATTGTATCCCGTCATCGAGTTTGCCTGGTGTTTCTGACAGTGTGAGTGTCCATCAGATCTGGCATTCTGACACCACATCTCCTTATTGTAAAAAACCATCCCAGCAGTCAAGTGGTTAAAGTGTTCGACTAACCTGCATTAAGGCCTGTATGCAGGCCTGTTTCTGGCAGGAAAAAAACAAAACACTAAAATGTGAGGAATAATTAGAAATAAATAACTGAAATATCTAAAAATCACATCCAAGTGGAAACTATTGAATGCAAAAATATTCAAGGGAAAACAAATGTCTACAATCATGAAAAAGAAAGTACACCCTCTTTTAATTCTAAGAAATAAATAATTAGCAGGTACATACCAGGCATTAAAATTAGGTAAATACAGCCACTGATTAACTAGTAAAATATGACATATACAGTGTCACTATTATTTATTTTCCACATTGTGGAACATTGTATAAAAAGCTAAGTACACCCCACAGTCCCATAGGTTGTAGAACCACATGCAGCAGCAATGACTGAAAGTAATTGTTTTGTTTCTGAATATTAGCCTCTTACATCATTGTGGAGAAATTTGGCCTACCCTCCTTTACAATGTTGCTTCAGTTCATTGAGGTTTTCAGGTGTTCATTTATATACCACTCTCTTAAGAGTGCCACATTATTTCAACTGGGTTGAGGTCTGTACCTTGATTCTTTTGTTTTTTGCCATTCTGTTGCTGTGCTTTTTACCATTGTCTTTTTTCATGACCAAGTTTCAACCAAGCATGATGGTTGAGCAGAAGGCCTATAATGATTTCAGATGGAATGCCCCTGCTGGACATCAGTTCGATTTTATTTATATAGCTCCTCATGGCACATTCTACAGTAAACGAAACACCCTACAATAATTAAAAACAAACAAACAAACACAGAACACCCCAACAATGGTAGGATCCTCGTTGAGCAAGTGGTTTGGTGATAATGGGGAGGAAAAATTCCCCTTTAACAGGAAGAAAAAACGGTCAGAAACATGCTCACAACCAGTTGGGGTGAGGGGAGGAAAACAAAATGAGGACATGCTGTAAAAGACAGACAGAGATTAATAATAACTAAGGATTAAATGCAGATTGGTGCATAAACAGAATAATAAGGTGAGTGAAGAAGAAACAAAGGAAAAAAATGCATCATGGGAAGCCCGCAGACGCCTAGGAATATTGGAATATAACTAAGGAAGGATTCAGATTCACCTGATTCAGCCCCAACCAGTGTTGGGTAAGTTACTTTAAAATAGTAACTTAGTTACATTACTA